GGGAAAAACATTAAAAAGTCAATTTTCTGAAAGGATTTTCTTTTTTTGATTTTTTTTTTTTTTTTGTAACGCGACAAATGTCAATTCAGATTGCAATTGACTCGTAAGCCAAGATAAGTTAATGCCCTGTCAAATTCTAGTTAAGTTTTGATCGAAAAGATAATCCGTTCGAATGACTTTTTTATACTTGAAGCGAATAGGTGTGCTTGAAGAAGTCTTCACTTCCTTTTTTTGCCCCTAGCAGCTTTCTCAAATCCATTCGAATTCAGGAAGCAAGTGTAGTTCCCATTGACACTTGAAAAGTTCCCAACTTCCCCCTCGTCCTTTTTTTTCTTCTTCTTTTTTTTCTGTTGATAAAATTGAACACACACTCAAAAGGAATTTCTCTCTATAAGCTTTTCTTCATTTTTCTTGTTGTAAGTTCGCGTCCGATAAGTGTGGAAATTTATTTTTTTTATTTTTGCAACTATGCTTTGTAAATGGCTTTTTCAAAAAAAAAAAAAAAAAAGAAATTACTCCAACTATTGCTTTTGTGTTTGAAAAATATTACGGTGCTTGATTTTTTATTCTCAATACAACGCAGAAAACATTTACTTTATCATTGTCAGTTGTTTAAAAGTTTTAATTAAAAAAATTTTTTAACTCGATCTCTTTTTCTCTTTCTCTCTTTCTCTCTTTCACTACTTGATAGAAATAAAATTTTTTTATATAGAGAAAAATAAGTATAGGGGGGGAGGGGGGTATAAGCAGTGCACTTTTTATTACATTTTTTCCTAAAAATGTATTTTTTTTTGGAAAAATATGAAAATTATTTAAAAAATAGAAACTAAAAATAAATTTGTAATAAAATTAAAAATAAAATGAAAACTAAAAATAAAGTTGTAAGAAAATTAAAACTAAAATGATAAATAAAAATAAACTTTTAGAATAAAATGAAAAAAATGAACACTAAAAATAAACTTGGAATAATATTAAAACTAAAATGACAAATAAAAATAAACTTTTAGAATGAAATGATAAATAATAATTGAAAACTAAAGATAAAAAACAGAAATAACTTTAAATAAAAAGGAAAAAATGATAACTAAAAGTAAAAATAAACTAAAAATAAAATGAAAAATAAAAATGTTTTATAAAAAAGAAAATGGTGAAAAGAAAAAGGTGAAATCTCATTTTCAGAATTTTCAAATCAATCCCTAGGGAGTGTTGAGCTTTTAGTGAAAAGTTGAGAATTTGCCAGGAAGGCAGGAATATTGAATTTAACAAAAAGGTGCTAAAAAGAGAAGAGAAAGCTTTCAGAAATCGAAAAGATGTTTCTGTATCGAATATGAATCTACTTTAAAAGATTTTAAAGAAAAAAAAAATTTCCAAATAGGATTTCATGAAAATAATTAGATAGATTAATTAGTATACAATTATTTTGTGAGTTACTGGCAGTAGAGAAAGAGAATTACAGTCAGACAGTGACTGAAAATTTTCTAAGAGAATTTTTAAGTAGTAAGAGTTATAAGTTACAAGAATTATAAGTAGTAAGAGACGTTTTAAGTCAGGCAAAAGACTACGATTTTTATAAAGTCACGTTTTCAGTAGTAAAAACCAGTTTGAGTCGGACAGTAGTAGAAGTCTTTTTTAGTCAGACGCTCTATTTTCGGAATTTTGTTTTCTTTTTTATTATTAAATTTTTTATTTATTATTTTTTTTAACTTTTAATTTAAGTAGTAATTACTAATAATAGTCGGAGAAAAACCCTAAAATCAGTAGTAACTGAAAAACGCAGTCAGATCATATTTTATCTCAAGTATTTTAGTTTTAGTGAAACGTAAAGACTACATAATTAATTTTTTAAGTAGTGAGAGAAAATTTTAGTGCGACAATTTATTTTCCAATTAATTCATTCTCGTACAAGTAGAATTAGACATTTATGGTAAGACCGAACACTTTAAGAAGAAGTAAAACAAAATTAGTAGTATAAAACAATTTTAGTCAGACAAGACTGCCTTTAATTTTTATGCTAGTAGTAAAAGACAGTTACGCCTAGACAAAACCTGCGAAATTAAGTAGTAAAGTTCACATACAGTCAGACCAATTGTTTCAATTTTCTGTTAATTTATTTTAGTTTATTTTCCAGTAGTAAAATTTAGTTTTAGTCAGACGAATTGTTTTAATTTTCTGTTAATTTATTTTAGTTTATTTTCTAGTAGTGCATTCTAGTTTTAGTCAGACGAAAAATATACCACTGTTGGCAAATTTTTAAAATCTGGTAAAAAAAACTGTTTTTAGCAGAATTTTCTTGAAAAATTCTGTAATTATTTTGTTTTGGCAATCTTTTGTTGCAATATAATTAAAAGAAAGTAACAGAAATAGAAAATATTGAGTTTTCTAAATGGACATTTGTTCGTTCGTTCGGTGAGAGTAAAAATAGAATTAAAGTTATTGAACTCAAGGAAAAGGAATTATCACTTTTTTCTTCTCTCATTCTCTTAAAGTGTCGAAATCAATGATTCTGCAGAAAATGAATGGAACCCGGAAGTCTTACGTCTGATAAAATAAAACGCTCCATTACCAAAAGGATACAAGTTTATTTCTCTGAAAAGTATTTTTATCGAGGAAAATCATTTACACTTTCGTAAAACAGAGAAATAGATTTTTCAATTTACAAATAATTTCTTTTGCAGTAAATTTTTCTAAATTAAAAACAATTGTTCTTTTATTAATAGTTTTTCTCATAAATTCTCATAATTTTGTTGAAAAATTATATTTTGAAACTAATAATTTTTGTTGAAAAATTTAAAAAATTATATTTTGAAACTAATAATTTTTGTTGAAAAATTTAAAAAATTATATTTTGAAACTAATAATTTTTGTTGAAAAATTTAAAAAATTATTTTTTGAATCTAATAATTTTTGTTAAAAAACTTATATTTTGAAAATATTGTTTTCGAAAATTTTATTTTGAAAATGAAAATCTTTTTTAAATTATTATATTTAGAAATTAATAATAATTGTTAAAAAATTATATTTTGCAAATAGTATTAACTAAAAAGTTATATTTTTCAAATAATATATTTTCAATTAGAAATCAATAAATGTAAAAATCTTATCAAATTAACTTTTTTTTTCTAAAATTGAAAAATTTTAATTCAATTTATGAAATTTGTTCGGAAAACAAATTTCCCTTGAATGGAAAACGATCAAGAGGATTAGCATTCTGAAAGTAGGGATTACTCAAACATAATTAAATTTCAATTAAAAAAGTTTATCCTAATTAAATTCATTGATCTCATTATTATCAAAAAGATTTGAATACATAAAATACTTCGCTCTGTAATTTTTATTTTTTAATTCCTTTTTTTCAAATTCCTTTCTTTTTAAACTATTTTTCCATTTTGTAAAGCATTTTTTCTAAAGACTAAATTTTAATTTGAGTATAATTAATAATAATTATTATTATTAATTATTAATTGTACTCAATAACATTAATTACAGAAAATTATTAATAATAACAATTATTATTATCATTTATTTATAATAATAAATAATTATTCATTCCCTGAAAATAAAAATTTGTTTTACATTAAAATTTAAAAATTCTATCAAATGCAAAATTTTGATAAATAAAAATTTTTTATCGATTTTATAGATTTTTATAGATAAAATGTTCGCATTATTAAATGTAACATTTTCGCGATATAATTAAAATATTAAATACAATTGTAAACTGATGTTTTATTGAAATGAGAGGAAATGTCTATTGAGTTTCTGGACCGGATATTAAACTAGGACCTCTTAACATTCACAACATCCACTGCCAAGGTGGAAGTTTACTCAGGCGGAAATTATGAGGCTCTTGTAATACTCAGGACAGTAATAATTTTCGGCAGTCACCTCTCAACTCACATTCCACGTTTCCCCCAAGGCAACATATTTTGTCCCTCTTAATAAATAAGACACTCGGAATTTTTTTTTTTACTCTCCTTCTTTCTTTGGAAAAATAAAAACCTCTTTCTAGTTCTTTTACCTGCATTCTAGTGTGAAAAACCCAGAGGATTTACTTTATATTTCACACTATTTCTCTTTTTTCTCTCTTTATTTTTATCTTTTGTAAATTTGGATTTAAAGCAACAAAAAAAAAAATTCCATTCTTTTGTTTGTTTTGTTCTGTCCACTAGTGTGCCTGGAAAAACAAAATTTGTCGACACTCTCGTAACACAATAGAAGTTTGCATAAAAATTAGTGAATGGGATTTTAAGTAAAAAAACATTGAGAGTCAAATTTTTTCCAAAAAGTTTCCAAAAGAAATTTACTTATTGAATTTATTTATTTTATTTATTTATTTATTTTATTTAATAATTGCATCATTTTTCAATTTCATCCATTTTTTCCTCTCGATTTTATTTCTCTATTATTAAATTTTTTTTTGCAATTGAAAATTGCAAAGTTAAAAATATATGTCAATAAAAGTTCAATTAAAACAGATTGGGTTGTCATAAAAATTAGTCAATCAACGTCAGTGTTTATTATTTGAAATTTCAAATAAAAAACAATTGACGCTGAAAATTTTTCTAGTTTCCAAAAAAAACTTTTCCGAAAGAAATTTATTTATTTTATTATTTATTTCATTGTTATTTAATTTTACAATTTTTCAATTTAGTCTCTTTTTTCCCTCTCGCCTTAATTTTTGTCCATTATTTAAATTTTGTTTGCGGAAAAATAATTGAATAAAAAAAGAAACGTTTATTTTAAAAATATTGAGACGGAAAAATTAAAAAAAATTTGTAAAAAGGTAAAATAAAAGTAAATTAAATTAAAAGTATAAAAATTAAATTAAATTAAAAGTATACGAAGAAAAAAATGCAACTGAAAATAAACATAGTTGTTCAGAAATATTTTCTTTTTTGATTTGATTTTATATCCTTTTAATAAAATGGGATATCAATTTAAATAATGAAAGAGTCCTCTTTCTGATACGCAATTAAATATATGAATGATTTATATTTCAGAATGGACATGCAATCTGCCCAACGAAATGAAAGCCTTTATCAGTGTTGCAGTGGATTTTGCATTGATTTACTTCAAAAATTTTCCGAGGAAATTGGTTTTACGTACGAACTTGTCAGAGTTGAGGACGGTAAATGGGGCACTTTGGAGGTAAGTTCAAATCATAAAAGACACTTTTACAATAAAAAAAAAAAATCGGGGGAAAAAATGAAATTTTTCTCAAAATTAAAATTAATATTCAGTTTAAAAAACTGTTATTTAATTAATAAATCATCTTACTCTTCAATAGATAATTTAAAAGCAATTTATTTGTAATTATTAATAACTATAATTAAAGTAGGAAATTTTCCACAAAATTCGAATATATTAATGTTTTGACAATTTACTACTTTATTGAAGTTTATTAATTTAATTATTAATATAGATTATTAATTTTAATAATTATTTTTCATGCAATTGACTTAAATAATTATATTTCAATCAATTGACATTAATAATTATTTTTCAATCAATTAACATTAATAATTATTTTTTATCAATTAATTTAAATTATCATTTTTTAATCTTAATCTTTTTAATCTTTTTAATCTAATTATCATTTTTTTGTAATTATTAATTTTCAATTAATAAATATTGTTAATTTATAATATAATAACTTTACTTATTAATTTTCATTTTATTAATTTTATTAATTCATTTTCAAATTTCAATTTAATTATTATTAGGTGATAATAAATCATTCTTAATAATTAATTTTTTTTTAGTTTCCAAAAAATAAAATTAAGCAATTTTCCATTTAACTAGTAATTAATAATCATATATTAATATATTATAATTTATTGCATAATTACTGATTATAATAAATAATTCTTAATAATTAACTAATTTTTGTTTAGTTTCAAAAATAAAAAATAAATTTTTATTCACTCCAGAGTGACGGGTAACATTTAATTATTTTAGAAAAATGGAAAATGGAATGGACTCATAGCTGACTTGGTGAATCGAAAAACGGATATGGTGATGACGTCTCTGATGATAAATTCGGAAAGAGAAGCAGTGGTCGATTTTACAGTGCCATTTATGGAAACTGGTATTGCCATTGTTGTTGGCAAAAGAACAGGCATCATTTCACCGACGGCATTTTTAGGTAAAATATTTTTTATAAAAAAAAACAAGCGAAAAATATTCAAATTGTTTTGAAAAATTTCCATTTTACGAGTTCAAAAAGAAATTTAATAAATAATAAGTAAATAATAACTAAAAACAAAATAATAAAAATAATAAATAAAAATAAAATAATAAAAGTATTTTATTGTTTTATTATTGTACTTCCAATTTTTTAAAACAAAGTTTTGTTTTATTTAGTTATTATATCGTTTGATAGGTTGAAATGACGATTAAACAATTAATTTCAATTTAATTTGATTATTTTATTATTTAGTATTAATTTGAGACTTTTGACAGATTTTATTTCCAAATAAGATTTAACATTTTTTAATAAGTAAATTTAGAAAAAAATAGAAAAATATATTGTCCAAGGGAAATAAAATACTCATTATTGCCCTAGGACAATAAAGTACTCATTATTACCCTAGGGAAATAATGGTCACATCGGATTTTTATAAATATCTCGATTTATTATTAAACATTTAACTTTGTTAACCAAAGTTATTTTTAAATATTTATGAAAAAAGCAAAAAATTCGTGAATTGAATAAAAAAAAATTTCATCGATTTTTATTATTAATTGTTAATTATGAAAATTAATTATTTTCTTATTGAATTTCAGAACCCTTTGACACAGCCTCGTGGATGCTGGTCGGCATTGTCGCCATACATTCTTCAACATTTATGATTTTCTTCTTCGAATGGCTCTCACCATCCGGTTTCGACATGAAGGTAAACCCTTCAGGCGCTGCCCGGAAACTGGTACCTTTCATTTTGCTTCTTATTATCTCTATCTATTATATTTTTTAATTCACCTCGTTGCACGCATTCACTCTTAGAAAAAAATCTGCCGGATCTGATGACACACTATATATCAGCACGTATGTGTTAGTTATTTGTGGAAGAAAAAAAGAAATTCATTTTTATTTTTTCACACATGTCCCACAATTTTTCTTATTCTTCATTTCAAACACCGAGAGAAATCTTTTTTTAATATAAATTAAAATAAAAAACCAAAAAAAAAAAATGAAAGTTAACTTCTTTCTTAAAAAATTTTACTTTTTTTTAACTGTGTATATAATTTTATATTTTTATAATAAACCTATCTGTATTATAAATTCGTAACTTTATCCTGAAGAAAATAAAAAAAAATCTAATTTAAATTCTAGCTCTAATTCTAATTAAAATTAAAATAAAAACGAAAATTAAAATCAAAAGTGGAATTTTGCTCCTGGAAAAAATAAAAAAAATTTAATTTAAATTCTAGTTCTAATTTTCTAATTAAAATAATGTTACAATTGAAATTAGCATTAATATTGAAATTACATTTAGAATTGCAATTAGATTAAAAAATTCAGCTTCAATATTTAATCAAAAGAGTATTATATAAAAATTAATTATTATTTTTTAATATTTCAATATATGTTTTTCTTTCATGACAAAGTTAATTTCCTTTGTGTTTTATTATAAAACTGATTTTGTTAATTAATGAAAATCGATAAAGAAAAAAATAAACAACACAAGGATGAAAAATATATATGAAGAAAATATTAATTATAAAATACTTGCATTAACCGTAAACAAATATATATATATATATATATATATATATATATATATATATATATATATATATATATATAATATACATAAATTTTACTTCTGTTTGTCTTCCGCTTCAAGTATATATTAAGTTAAATACGTACATTGAAAATTACACATTTCTCTCGGTGAGTATAAAACTTTATCTTCTATGTTGCACGTATATTACATTATTATAAATATATGTATATATGTATACAAATTTTATACATATATACATATATATATATATATTTGTCCTCAAGCTTTAGTCACTGAAAAATTTCAAAACTGTGTATATATTATATATATGTATACTCGAAACTGAGAAATGTATTTCCACTTGTCTGATTTTGTGCATTAAGTCCTTCTCAACATATATAATAATAATAATAATAATAACTGTTAGTGCACTTAAAGTTTAGCTCCACAAGAATAATAGCGTAAATTGTAAAATAGTTTATTATCCTGGTTAAAATTAATTTCTGAAATTATTACAAAATTTTCGCAAAATTAAGGTAATTAGCTGAAGGTTGAAATAAATTTCTCAATTATAAAATAATCTACTGAAATTTCTAATTTATTTTCTAATTTATATTTTTATTGTAATAAATTATTACGTACAATGACTAATTAATTATCATATATTAACTATTATATTATCATTATAAATAATAAAATTCTTCCCCTAAGTTCAATTATTTTCAAATCAATTTCAAATTCCCAAAAATAGTACACAAACATTTAATTATTTTCATAAATAATAAAAATTTCTCAGGAATTCAATTATTTACAAATTTTTTATAAATTCCTTGGCAATAATTCAATTATTTTTATAAATAATAAAAATTTTTTTAAGGATTTTAATTATTATTTTTATAAAAAATAATTAAAAATTGTAGAAAATAATAATTGATTTGAAATGATGAAAATAATTTTGAAAAAGTTACTGTAATAATATTCTTATTATATAAAACAATGATTTTATCACTCGGTCATTTTTAATTATTATAAGTTATTGAATTTAAAAAGATTTGAATTTGAATGTTTTGAAAAATTTTAATTCCTACGGAAAAATAATATTTAAATATTTATTTAAAAAAGAGTTATTGATGTTTTCGAATAATTTTACAATTAAAGAAATTCGTAAGTAAGTGTAACAGAACATTTTTTTGAGTAAAATTTTTTCGTTTATTTTCTAAAAATTTAAAAAGTTTCAATTTCATTTGTCAATTAAAATTTGTAATTGACAAATAGAATAGAATATGTAATGTTTCTTTTCCAAAAGGAAAGAATGAATTTTTGAACAATATTGTTATTGTGAAATATAAATTTATGCATAAAATGTGTTTTATTTTCTATTTCTAAATAATAATTCTTTAACAATTAACAATTTTCTATTTTTTATATATAAAAAGGAGAAAAATTTACATAATTTAGATCAGTCAAACGAAATTTGTTATGGAAAAAAGCAGATAATAAACAAAATTTATTTGTTAATCTTTAATCATAATTTTTTTATACTTTCTAATTTCAAATATTGTTTTATTATAAATGAATTAATGAATTGAATCAAACTTATTATGCATTGAATCAAAATTATTATGTTTAATTCAAAAATAATTTTTGGTTGACTGCATAACAAAGATAATAAATTATTATTGTAAAAACAGAAAATAGTTTAAAGAAAATTGAAAAGAAAAATGATTCAATTTGAGGAAAATGGAAAATTAATATTATTAATTTTACATTTTTGTTTTTTTTTATTTTATTATAATCATATATTTTTTTGTCAAATATTTCTAAGAGAATAAATTTCCTCGTCAATTTGATTTAAAGCAATAAGTGCGGAAGAATTTTTAAACAAAGACAAGAGTAAAATTATTCGTTATCAATAAACAAAAAGCATATCACTCGCATTGCATTGATTTGATTGTTTTATTGCTGAAAGTCTGTGTTTAGAAATCAAACCAATTTATCTGATTGGAAATCTATTCCATACACAGAATGAATAGCATATTGGACATAAAGCGCATGAATTTTAACGAATGTGTTGTAAAGGGAATCCAGTAAACAATAAACAATAAAAAATAATTAAAACAAAACAAAAATAAATGAAAATTTTACAAATAATTATTAAAATTAAAACCGAAAATTGCTTTTTCAATTATCAATTATTGAATTATTAAAATAAAAATAAGAAAAATGAAAACAAATTTGTTTATTTATTCACTAAAATTTATTAATTTATTAATTTATTTTTTACTATTATTTATTATTATAATTAGTTCATTATATAATAATTCTTCTCCAATACTAAAATTATTATTTATTTTCAAAAATTTTAATAAAATTCTCGTCAAAATTTCAATTATCTTTATAAATAATAAAATTCTTCTCCAAAATTCAATTCTGTTCAAACATTTTAATAAAATTCTTGGCAAAATTTTAATTATTTTTACAAAAATTTTCCTTAATTTACTGATTTTTAATAGGTATCTATTATTTTCATAAAATAATAAAAATTTCATAGAAATTCAATTATTTACAAATTTTTTATAAATTTCTTCGCAATATAACTCAATTATTTTTATAAATAATAACATTTTTACAGGGATTCGATTATTTTTCTAAATAATAAAATTCTTTTCAGGAATTTAATTGTTTTCAAAAGTAATAAAATCCTTCGCAGAAATTTAATTATGTCAAGAAATAGTAAAATTCTTCTTAGGAATTCAATTATTTTCACAAACAATAAAACTCATTGCAGAATTTCAATTATTTTTAATACAATTTTAATCAAATTTCTCGAGAAATGCAATTATTCTTAAAAATTTTATTTAAAATAAAATTCGTCGAAAGAATTGAATTATTTAAAAATTTGTTGATAAAATTCTTTATAAGAATTGAATTTTAAAAAACATTCAATTGTTCAATAAATTATTTTTTTTTGTATTTAAATAATTGAATTCAAGTAGGTAGAATTTTTTAATAAAAATTGATTTAAAAATAAATTTCACTTAAAATTTTAGATAATAATTGAATATCAAAAGCAACATATAGCGTGGATTTTTAGAAATAATTGAATTTTTAAATTCGTTTTTTTTAAAAAGTGTAATTGATTTTTTTTTTACATTATTTGAAGTTTTTATTTTCTAATATATATTTAATTGAATAATTTACGAATAATTGAAATATGCAAAATTGAATATTGTAAATAAATAGATATTGAAAATTGGAGAAAAACTTTTTTGAAAATTAATTAATTTAAAGAAAAAATTTTTTACTAAGTTAAATGAATTACAGACCTATCTGATAAAAACAATTTTTGTCCAAAATATGTTATATAAATCAAATGTAAAATTTAATTACACAAAAATATAAAGTTGAAAAATATTATTTCACGAATTTAAATTCTTTTCAATTAAAAATAACTAAAATTCTTCAGAATATTCACTAGAATTCATATATATATATTAGAATGATTCTAGTAAAATTCTATAGAAGTTTTTCAGCTGGAATTAAAATTTTTTTTTCCTTGTAACTATTATAATGTTTATTAATTAATTAAAAATATTATTTAATTTAAAAGAGTAAAGAAGAAAATATTTCTACTTTTCAATAAATGTTCCTTTAACATTATATAAAGTATTTGCAAGAAAAAAAAACAGAAATTAATTTCAAAACTAATATTTAATTATTTTTCTCGATTTTCAATAGACAAATCCACCACAAACACATAGATTTTCTTTGTGTCGAATTTATTGGTTGGTATGGGCTGTCCTTTTCCAAGCAGCCGTCCATATTGATTCACCAAGAGGATTTACCTCCAGGTTCGTATATATTCGTTGTTCACGATAACAATATGCTAATTACTTGGATAAGATTAACATCAAAATTGTATTATGATTGCGTATTACATTTATCACTGCACGTATATATATATATATATGTATATTAAGTTATATTCCCCGTTTATATTGATGAAATTTTAAATACCCCTCTATCTATACATATATGTATCGAAAGTTTTATAAAGTTAATGCGTTATTCAAAATTATTTACCACATTATCGTGTTTACGCTAATGACATTAAATTTTAATTATTATTCTAATTTCAAATACATTGATAATTGTAGCTTAATTATCGCCAGTGTATTATACTGATTCCGTTGATGCTTCCTATCAGTATTCAAATTTTCCCAAATGCATTAGAATTTCGATTACAAACCTGACTTTTTTTTATTATTTATTATATTTTTATTATTATTATTATTATAAATATTATTTTCATTTATGTTTGTATTATTATTATTATTACTAGCAAAACTACACTCGCGCGTGAAATTTTCGTTGTTATTGATACTTTAAAAGATTTGCTTTTTGAAATTTAATGAAAATTCTTCATTTTTTTAAAAAATATAATTTTTTTAACATTTTTTCATTAAATTTAATTATTAAAGACATTTCTAACATTATTTATTCCTAAATTTATTTTAAATTCAATTATTTTTCAAATTTTCAATTAAAATTCTTCAATAAACGCTTTTACTTCAAAACAGATTTTAAAAGTATAAACTAAGAAAATTGATTGAAATACAATTTCGATAAAATATGACAAAATTTTCAATTGTTTCAATTTTTTAAAATTATTTTCGGAAATACAATTATTTTTAAAAAAAATTTTAATTACATTTTTTCAAGGAATAATTTTTCAGAATTTCTGAATTAAATTATTCAAAACTTCCATACTTTTTGTTGAACAAAAATTAAAAAACTTATTCTTATTTATATTTCCACAAGAATTAAAAATTTCAAATAATTGCAATGAAAAACTTCATGAAATTTAATTACTTCTAAAAATTGCATTTCTTCCAAAAGAAAATTATATTTTTTAGAATTTTTTAATAAAATTATTGAAAAACTTTGAGAATTTTTAAAGAAAAATAATGTAAATAATAATTTTTTAAAATAAACATTTTAATGTTTTTATACTTTTGTTTCCTTTAAATTTGAAAACAATTTATATAAAAATCTTTTAAAATTTAATAAATTCCTAAAATTTTTGTTATATTCAATTATTTATATAATTTTTTTTAATTTTTGTAAATTCATAAAATAATGTTTTTTAAAAATACAATAATTATATTTATAGAAAATTTTGAAAGATGAAAAAATAAAATTCTTTAAAATATAAATTTTTACAAAATTTCTAATTGTTTCAATTTTTAAAAATTATTTTCGGTATGTCAAGTATATCTTCAAAAAATTTTAATTGCTATTTTTCAAAAACCTTTTTTTCGAATTTCCTAATTAAAAATCTTTCAAATCTTAATCATTTTCGTAAAATAAATATTTAAATACTTATTGTTCTTTTATTGCTAAAAATTTCAAAATACTTTCAATGTAAAACCAATGGAAAATTTATTTATTAAATTTGATTATTTCTAATGAATCCTACTTTAACACTTTTTAATTATCTTCTAAACTTTTAACTAAAATTCTTTTTTAAATCAATTCTTATCAGAATTTAATTATTTCAATACAAAAATAAATAATTTATAGAATAATTAAGTATTTTAAAAATATTATTAATAAATTAAAAAATTTTGTATTTTTAAGAATGAACATCAATTTTTGAATGATTACAGATTCAAAATTTAACAAATTCACTCATTTAGTACATATAATATTAAATATTCTTGTTTATTATTATTATTCAAAAATTTTAATCAAATTTTTCGATAGCATTTCATTATTCTCATAAATAATTATATTTTTTTTAGAGAAATTCAATTATTTTCAATACAATTTTAATAAAACTTCTCGAAAGAATACAATTATTTTTAAAAATATTAATTGTATTCGACTATTTTCATGAATTTTAATATGAATCTAATTATTTTCAAAAAGTCTGATAAAATTCTTCAAACCAATTTAATTATTTTTATGTATTGTAAAATCATCCACAAGAATTCAATTATTTTCATAAATAAGAAACATTTTTTGCAAGGTTAAAATATTTTCATAAATAATAAAATTCAACAAAGGAATTCAATTATTTTCATTACAATTTTAATAAAATTTCTCGAAAGAATACAATTATTTTTAAAAGTATTATTTAATTTCAATTATTTTCAAGAGTTTTATTAAAAATTCAATTACTTTCAACAATTCCGATAAAAAATTCTTCGAAACAATTTTAATTATTTTTATAAATTTGTAAAATTCTTGTCAAGAATTTAATTATTTTTGTAAATAATAAAATTCTTCTGAGAAATTCAATTATTTTTAATACAATTTTAATAAAATTTCTCGAAAGAATACAATTATTTTTAAAAGTATTATTTAATTTCAATTATTTTCAAGAGTTTTATTAAAAATTCAATTACTTTCAACAATTCCGATAAAAAATTCTTCGAAACAATTTTAATTATTTTTATAAATTTGTAAAATTCTTGTCAAGAATTTAATTATTTTTGTAAATAATGAAATTCTTCTGAGAAATTCAATTATTTTTAATACAATTTTAATAAAATAGGTATTTAGGAAAAAATTTAATTATATTCAAGATAATTTTAAAAAGTTTCTCTAACAGGTTCAACTATTTTAAAAAATTGTAATACAATTTTTCTAAACAATTCAATTGTTCTCAAAAGTTTTTTAATAAAATTCTTTGTAAATTTCAATTATTTTCATGATTCTCAATTAAAATTATTTTAAAAAATTACATTATTTTAATGAAATTTAATAAAATTCTTTAAAAAAATGTAATTATTTACAAAAACTCTAATAAAATTGTTCAAAAGAATTTAGGTTTCTATTTATCTATAATTTTAATATAATTTAATAGGAAAATTATTAATTACTTACAGTTAATAATAAACACGATTATTTTAAAAGCTTAAAAAATCCATAAATTACGTAAGACATTTAAGGGGGAGGGGGGGGGTGACACATCAAATTCTTACGAACAATAGACAAAATGGCGCTAATGTATGCAAAATATCTTACGAGAGGGGAGGGGGGGTTTAAATTTTCCAAATAATGTCTTTAATAAAAATCTTACCAAGAATTAAATTATTTTTAATATAATTTGAATTAAATTTTCTCGAAAGAATTCAAATTGTTTGAAAAAATGATAATAAAATTTTTGAAATGAATTCAATTATTTTCAAATTTTTTTTTTTATTAATACTTTGCAAGAATTCAATGATTTTTAGTACATTAATTTTAAAATTAAAAAAAAAAAGGAAAATTATTTAAAAAGTTAGAAAACAAAAAAGCAAACAGCTTTTTAGATTATTATTATTATTATCATTATGAATAATTTATTAATAATAATTTTAATTTTAGATTCATGACGAATGTATGGGCAATGTTTGCCGTGGTTTTTCTTGCCATATACACTGCCAATTTGGCGGCCTTCATGATAACAAGAGAAGAATATTACGATTTCGCGGGAGTGGACGACGCTAGATTATCGAAACCATGGTCCCATAAACCAATGTTCAAATTTGGCACTGTCCCATTTACACACACGGACAGTGCACTCTCAAAATATTTCAAAGAAATGCACTCCTACATGTCACTCTACAACAGATCAAGCGTTGCCAAAGGAATCGAATCAGTAGATAATAGGTAAACAATTCCTTTTATTATTTCAAAAATAAAAATTTATATTAAAATAAACTTTATTTTTATAGTAAAAGAAAAATTAAATTTTTCTCCTAAAATGAGAATATTTACTCAAAAAGCGACAAATTCAAAATTTTTAAACTTTTCAATTTATACGAAAAAATGGCGGAAAGAAAAGAGAAGAGAAGGGAAAAAAATAGTGTAAAAAAAATTGTCCAATAAAAGAAAAGTACTGCAATGATTGATGAGATAACAACGATTTGATTTTCTCACAGGGAATTGGATGCCTTTTTTTACGACGGTACTGTACTTGATTATCTCGTGGCACAGGATCAAGACTGTCGTCTCTTAACTGTCGGCTCTTGGTACGCTATGACCGGATACGGTCTCGCTTTTCCCAGACATTCCAAATATCTTCAAATGTTTAATAAACGTTTGTTGGACTATCGAGATAACGGTGAGTTTATTGTTTTCAATTAATTTTTCTCTTTTTAATTTATTTTTATTCGTATAAATTCCATTTTGGAATTGAAAATTGTATTTTTATAACTAATTTTTTATTTGAAAATTTAATTATTTGGGAAAGAATGGCGATTGTCTGACTAAAGCTTTTATTTTCAGTTTCAGTAGTACGAGTCAGCTTTAGTCAGACTGAAAATAAAAACTAAGTAAAAGTTTTATGTCTGACTAAAATTATTTCATACTACTAATTTTAGTCTTTTTAACACTTTTGTCTAACTAAAGTTGACTTTTACCACTTTCAATTAAACGGAAAGTAGAAAACATTTAAAAAAAATATATGTCAAAAAAAATAAAAAATAGAAAACATTCCTTTAATTACACTGAAGAAAAAATTGATTTTCAGGCGATTTGGAGAGACTCAGAAGATATTGGATGACGGGAACATGTAAACCGGATAAGGAAGTTCAGAAAAGCAGTGATCCTTTGGCTCTCGAGCAATTTTTAAGTGCATTTCTTATGCTCATGTTTGGAATTTTTGTTGCATCTGTATTATTATTGTTGGAATACTTATATTTCAAGTACATTAGACATCATCTCGCAAAAAGTGATCGAGGCGGATGTTGCGCATTACTCAGTCTGGTGAGTTTCATCTTTCACTTTTTTATTTGCGAAAACAAACAAAAAGCAAATATGAAAACCATATGCATTTGGAAATATTAAATAACGAGTAAAAAATATACATAGAAAACAAATCTCGTCATGAATTTTGTGTGGTAAAAATGAATATTGGTTTTCTTGAAAAAAAAAATTGATAAAAAGTTTTTAGTCTGATTAAAACTGACCTGAACTATTGAAATTAATAATATGTGAAGTAAAAAAGATTTGACTGACTGATACTGACTTTTATTACCTAATAAAAAATGAGAAGTTTCTAAATTAGTTACGTTCGTTTACTAATAATAAATATTGTGAATTTTACAAAAATTATACCTTGTTGTATAAATTTTTTGTTTAAATTAATTTTAGTGAAAGTGAAAGTGAAAATAAAAATAAAAATTAATTTCGGTGAAAGTGAAAGTGAAACTTAATTTAGGTGAAAGTGAAAGTGAAAGTGGGAGTGAAATTAAATAATAGGCCCCAGAACCAGTTTTTTAAAAATAAACATTGTCTGACTGCAATTGACTTCTACTACTGAAAATTTCAATTCTCTTTATAAATAATAAAATTCTTCTCTGATATTCAATTATTCTACAAAATTTTAATCAAATTCCTGTCAAAAATTCAATTATTTTCAAAAGTTTTCTAAAATTCATAATAATTTTCAATATCTACTATTTCAATAAAATTTTCCAAAAGAATTCCATTATTAAAAAAAATTTGAATAAACTTCTACGCAAACATTCAATTATTTTCATAAATAATAAATTTTTTTACAGGAATTCAATTATTTACAAATTTTTTTTAAAATTTCTTTGCAATAATTCAATTATTTTCATAAATAATAACATTTTTACAGGGATTCAATTATTTTTATAAATAATAAAATTCTTTTAAAAATTCAATTATTTTCAGAAATAATAAAACTCATTGCAGAATTTCAATTATTTTTAATGCAATTTTAATCGAATTCCTCGAAAAATTGAAATTATTCCTATAAATTTTATTAAAATTCGTCCAAAGAATTTAATGATTTAAAAATTTGTTGATAACATTTTTTATGAGAATTTAATTTCAAGAAACATGAAATTAATAAATTATTTATTTTTCTATTTGGAAATAATTGAATTCTCGTAGAATTTACTAAATAAAAATGATTTTAAAAATGAATTTCAGTTAAAATTTTAGATTATAATTAAATATTAAAAGCATTATAACGTGGATTTTTAGAAATAATTAAATTTTTCAAAAGTTTCAAATTAAAATCATTGAAATTCTTAATTTTTCATATTTTTGACAAACAATTCTGTAGAATTAATACTTTTTAAAAGTTTAATAAGATTTTTATTGAAATTATTTCAAGTTCTTATTATTCAATGTATATTTAATTGCAGAATTTCCGAATAATTGAAATTTTGTATAAAATTGAATTGTAAATGAATGAATTTGAAAATTCTCAAAGAACTTTTTTTTAAAATTATTAAAAATAATGGATTTATTTAAGAATTTTAGTTAAAAACACTAGAAAAAAAATTTAATTTTAGAGAAGTTACAAATTATTGGAGATATTCAATTATTTTCAAGAGAAATAAAATTCTTCTTAAGGATTCAATTATTTTTACTAATAATAAAACTCATTTCAGCGTTTCAATTATTTTTCATACAATTATAATTGAATTCCTTGAAAAAAGTAATTATGTTCATGCAAGTTTTAATAAAATTCGACAAAGGAATTCAATTATTTAAAAATTTGTTACTAAAATTCTTTATGAGAATTGAATTTTGAGAAACATTCAATTATTCAATAAATTATTTACTTTTACATTTCAGTAATTTAATTCTTGTAGAATTTTCCAATAAAAATTGATTTTTATTTCATAAAAATGAATTACAGTTAAAATTTAAAATAGTAAAAGTAATATAGCGTGAATTTTTAGAATTAATTGATCATTTGAAATTAATTTTTTTTTAAATTATTTGAAGTTTTTATTTTCTAATATGCATTTAATTAAAGAATTTAGGAATAATTGAAATTTCGTGTAATTGAATATTGTAAACAAATGGATTTAAAAATTGCCTCTAAACTTTTTCGAAAATTATTAAAAATAATTGATATAAAGTAAAATTGGAGTTAAAAATTTTTGAAAATAATAATTGAATTGAAATAATGAAAATAATTTTGAAGAAGTATAATCTTCATGTTTTATAGTTATAAAAAAATTTAATGAACTAAAATTTCATTCATTGTAAAAAATACCAACAAAATTGATTATTTTAATCTTTTTTGGTGTTAATTTAATCTGCAACACTTTTTAATACCTCACAATTTACTGTGATAATATAAAGTATGTACCATTTGTCTGACTAAAACTGGCAGTAACTACTGAAACTCACGAGATATGAACTTAGAAAACTTTGACTGACTGAATATTGACTTTTACTACTTAAACTAAAAATAATATAGAGTAAAAAGCCTTTGTCTGACTAAAAATGATATCAACTACTGAAAGTAGTAAAATATGAACTAAGAGAAATTCGGCTGACTGATATTGACTTTTACTACTTAAACTAAAAATAATATAAAGTAAGAATAGTTTTTCTGACTAAAACTGACTTTTACTACTGAATCTATGTAAGAATAATACATTTTTTAAAGAAGCATTTGTCTGACTTTATTGACTTCTTCTACTGAAAACGAAAAATAATATTAAGAAAGCAGCACTTGTGTGACTACAATTGTCTTCTACTGTTGAAACTAAAAATAATATATTCTTAGAAGTATTTGTCTGACTATATTGATTTCTTCTACTAAAATAAAAATTAGTATATATACTAAGAAGCATTTGATTGACTAAAACTGACTTCAACTTTTGAAACTAAAAATAATGTAAAATAATGTCTGACAGTGATTTACTTTTACTACTTATAAGGTTATTAGAGAAATATGCAAAAATCTGTCTCAGTAAAGGTATTTTTTTCTTTTATTATAAATAAATAAAAAACAAAAAATACAGAAAGTTTAAAACTGACATTATAAAAAATACAAATTAAACAAAAAATTCAAAAATAACGAAAAACAAAAGTACAAAAATGTCGAAAAATTATAATTCGTAAATACAGAAATACACAAATATCAAAAATACCAAAAATACTAAAAATACAAAAATACAAAAAATAAACTAAAAGAAATCAAATAGAATAATGATACATTATTCGAAATAGTAATGAAAATAATAATAATGGTGATAAATAATTTTTATTAATAATTAATAAAAAAAAAATAATCCAGAATTTCTTAAAGAAAAGATTAATTTTTCGATTAAAATTTTCAGAGTATGGGCAAATCGTTGACATTTCGAGGCGCTGTCTATGAAGCTCAAGACATTCTCAAGCATCACAGATGTAGAGATCCAATTTGTGATACTCATTTGTGGAAAGTCCGACATGAACTAGACATGGCGAGGCTTAGGATAAGGCAGCTAGAAAAGGATCTTGAAGTGCACGGGATTAAACCCTCCCAAACCAAGTACGCAAGTCACATTTGTTTTCTTCTTAATCCTATTTTATGGCTAAAAGTACTCAACCTGATAGTGTACCAAAATGCCCCGTGGTTTCCGACTCTCTTTCTCTCTCTCACTCACTAACTCTCTCTCTCTCTCTCTCATTCTATATACATATATATAGCTTTCGCAAATATAAATCACTTTGAGAAAATCTCTCAGTAAATTTCATCTGATTATGTTGAAAAATTTCGATTTTCAGCACGAGTTTGATTTGTTTTTAGATAAAAAAAAAGGAAAAAAGAAATTCCTAAGTAAATTATTAACTAAAAGTAAATTCCCTTCTTTTTCTGGAAAAAAGATTGAAATAAATGCGGCGTTGAGCCCGTTGAAAATTTACGCATGCTGCTAGTAATATATTCTATTTGTATATTAATCTATTTACAATTTTTCGTTTTTGAAAACTTTTGGCAAATTTTAAGGTCATCATGACACGAAAGTTTCATTTTTTCTACAAGGAATTTTTTTTTTTAATGGATCTTGAAGAAATGATAAAAAATTGAATTGGGAATTTAAATAAGACGCGTATATTTATAAGCAAAGAGAAAAATTTCTAATAATGGTATTTTTTTTTAAATATTCTAAAAAAGAAACTTAAATTTTTATAATCTTTTCAAAATTTTTAAATTCAAATGAACAAAGTTTTTTTTATTTTTCGAAAGCTTGAAAAATTACTTTAATAATTTTAAAACCCCGAATAATTTTTTCTTTATTAAGAAGCATTTTTTTGAAAAGTCAAAAACATATTTTTCTAAAAGCAAAAAAAATTGATATTTTTGATAATTTTATAAAAGAAAGAATGACAAAAGAAAAGTTTGTAATATTTTGAGTTTCGATAAAAGAATATCTAAAATGAAAAATAAAATGTTTGAAAAATAATAACTTTCCAAAATGAGAATCCAGGCGTATTTACTTAAAAACAGGACATAAGTTTTATTGAGGATGTAGAAAAAAAAGGATATATATTTCGTGTGAAGGGACCTTAAACTTCGACCTACTTTTATAGCTATATAAATATAAAAACACCCACACAATTCAAAGTTTTGTTTTCGCACAAAATGCACGCCCTCCTTCCGATAGAATAAATTAAATAAATTTTTATTCTATTTTTGTTTACATATATACGACACTTCACGCGTATTTCAAGCACCATATATATATATTTAATAATTTCTTCTCTCAATGTTAAATTTTTTACCCTGTTTTTTGTATATCAGCTTCATTATTTTCTGCGTGTTTATAAAAATAATTTTCTTTCTTTCTAAACGAAAAAATCAAATTTTTAAGCCATTCAATTATATAGGGAAGGAGTGCAAGGAGAATAATCTCAACGTGTGAATAAAATTTGGATTTTTTTTTATAATTTTAGGAATAATTACAAAAATAGAAAAATAATGTGAATTTTACTAAAAAAAGGACTGTTTAAGAATTACGTAAGCTTTGGATAAGGATTATTTTTTTGCACTGTCTGACTAAAACTATTTTTCACTACTGATTGTATACTTTTGCCAATTTTAAACCTTTTGGCTGACTAAAAATGTGTTTTACTACTAAAATTGATATTAGATAAAAGCAAACGACTTTTGTCTGACTTAAAACTGACTTGTACTACTGGCACTTGAAATAATTGACTCTGAAAGTGTTGTTGTTTTTACTACTAAAAAAAAATAAATACAGTTTTTTTAATACCCTGTTTGACTGTAACAATCTTTTACTACTTTCGATGTAATTTACAAAATGTTAAAGAGAACAGTCTGACCAATATTTTCTTTTACTACTGATTGTATACTTTGACGAATTTTAGACTTTTCGGCTGACTAAATATGCGTTTACTACTGATATAAAAAATAACTTTGTCTGACTTAACAGTGACTTCTACTACTGGCACTAAAAATCATCTACTAAGAAAGTATTGTCTGACTATTCATATTTTTACTACTGAAAATATAAATAGTTTTCTAATATTCTGTCTGACTATAACTATTTTTTACTACTTTCGTCATAATTTAACAAGAACTTAAAAAAGAACTGTCTGACGAAAACTATTTTCCACTACTGATAATACTATCAGTAAAAATTAATTAATTAAAAATAAAATAAAATAAAATAATAATAAATTAATTAATTAATAATTAATTTTTAATTACCTAATCAAATTTAATTTAATTTAATTTAATTTAAATGTTATGTAAAGTAGTAAAAATAAGTTATGGTCAGACGTTGACAATATCATGCTATCAGTAGTTAAAGTTGGTTATAGTCAGACATTTGTCTGACCATAACTTACTTTTACTACTTTACATCACATTTTTAATCCCATAGGCTTCTTTTTAAATTTTAATTTATTTGAAAATTTAAAGCTAACGAATATTTAAACAGTTGAGAGGTAGAAAAAAATAGTTTACGAGAGGGGGGAGGGAGAAACAAAACGGTGAAATTAGGAAAAATTAAAAAAAATCAAAAGCACAAAAATCCATGGGCTTTTTTAAAGGAGGAAATCCGGAAGTCTCAGCTGGTGGCGTGGATGCTTGCAACCATCGGAGTATCCATCACATGCCGAATCACTCTCAGTCGAAGCACCACATCCGTTACCCCCATATTTTGATTCGTAAGTTTTTTGTAAAAAAAAAGAAAGACAAAAAAGAAATCAAAATTCATTTTTAAAAAAAATTCTCAAATTTGCATTAGTGTCCATAAATTAATAACACACTAAAAAAAATAGATTTCAAATAAACGATTACTTGACTATTATCAAATAAATATTTACTTGAATCAAATAATTTTTTATTTATATTTTTTATTTATTTTACTTATTTTATTTATTTTATTTATTTTATTTATTTTATTTATTTTATTTATTTTATTTATTTTATTTATTTTATTTATTTTATTTATTTTATTTATTTTATTTATTTTATTTATTTTATTTATTTTATTTATTTTATTTATTTTATTTATTTTATTTATTTTATTTATTTTATTTATTTTATTTATTTTATTTATTTTATTTATTTTATTTATTTTATTTATTTTATTTATTTTATTTATTTTATTTATTTTATTTATTTTATTTATTTTATTTATTTTATTTATTTTATTTATTTTATTTATTTTATTTATTTTATTTATTTTATTTATTTTATTTATTTTATTTATTTTATTTATTTTATTTATTTTATTTATTTTATTTATTTTATTTATTTTATTTATTTTATTTATTTTATTTATTTTATTTATTTTATTTATTTTATTTATTTTATTTATTTTATTTATTTTATTTATTTTATTTATTTTATTTATTTATTTTTTTTTATTCAAATCAAGTAGTCTTTTGAATTAAATATTATATTTAAACCAATAATTTCAGTATTTGACACAAATTCAGATGTAGATTTAAATAAAGATAAAGATTTTAGTAAAAATTATTTTATACAAGAAAATATTTTTTTATTACAGACAAGTAATCGATTAATTGAATCAAAGAAATTTATTTTTAATGTAAAAATAAAAAAAAAGCACCTATAATAATAGTAGTAAATAAAAAAAAAGAATAATTATAGTAAGAATGAAAAGAGTATAATAAAAATAATTAATACAAAAAATTAATAATATAAAGAAAAAAACAGTAATAATATATTATTTTAATTTCAGTGAATCGTGAAAATTTTACTATTACAAATTGCTTGCTCCTTATAAATGTATTAAAATTTATTTTCTTCTTTCTATATAATTGTTTTGTTTTTTTCTAAATGCTTGTTAGCATGGCATGAAACTTATTTTTAATATTTCACGTTCTTTTTTTTAAACATTAATTCTCGTCAGCAAAATTATTATTCGCATTTAATCGAATTTGAATTTTTAATCCTCAGTTGTTCGTACCAATTAAAATATTTATTTTAAATAAATTTAATACACAAATTAATAAAAAAAATATTTTTATTTCAAATAATATATTTTACTAAATACGCTGGAAATATTTAGTTCCTCGTTTATTAATATATATTTGTTAATTTTCTCTTTTTCTTTATTTTTTCCAAATTTTTTTCCTTTTTTTCTATTTTTCAATTTTTCAATTTTTCTTTTCTCCATTTTTATAATATTTTTTTATTTATTTGTTTAGAAAATAATATAAAAATAATTAATTTAGAAAAAATTATACCATCTTTATTACAATTAAAAGTTAGTTACTTCAAAATAGGTATATCGTTCATTATTTGTCAAAATTTTTTTATTTTATTACTTAAAAATAATAATTAAATTCTAAATTCTAATAATTAATTATTAACTAAATATTTCTGTATTTCTTATTAATTTTCAAAATAAAAATTACAAAATATTGTAATTTATTTTTCTTTAGAATATTATTTGATAAATTTTTGAAAATCTTGCCTTTAATTAATAGAAGAAAATTTCTCTAGGGAAAATTTTTCGAACACAAAAAAATTAGGGACACAGGAAAAAAAAATTCTGAGAGCATGTATAAACTTTAATGGAATCGAATTTTTTATTCAGGTTTGTCGATGCTGTTGAAGTTTCCAAGCCACGGGACATGACCAAAACAACCATTGTAAACACAGAATACGATGAGTGTTTTTTACCTACTGAAATTTACAGGTAAATTGCTTTTTTCTTTTCTTTTAAATTATTTAAAATGTTTTTGAAAGAAAAATTTTTTTAATTTTTCCTAGGAGACTTTTGTTATTCAATTTTATTAATTATTTTTTATTAATTTGTTCCCACTTTTTTCAGTTTCACTAATTAATTTCAAATAAATAAATAATAATTAATATTTAATAATTAACAATTTTTATTTATTAAGAATGTAAAAAATAAAAATATGAAATATTATTAAATGTTATAAATATTTTTGTAATAATACAAAAATATAATTAAATAAAATTTTTTTTTTTAAATTTCTAACTAAATTTGTGAAAATTAACAGATTCCCCGATGAGGACACGACAATTACTGAAATTGCGGAAATTGAAACTGTTCTGTGATGCTCGTATCTGGCCTTTGACAGTTTCCATTGGAGACAAAAGAAATTTTCTACGAGTTCAGTGAAAATTAATTTCTCCAATGAAATTCATCGCTTCAAGGGACTTTAAACAAAAATGAATTGAACCTCATTTAAAAATTATAATCACGAGGAACATTCAAGTATGTATCACCCAATTGACAAAAAAAAAGAGAAAAAAACAATTTCCACGGAACACCGATTTATAACATCGAGCAGCCAATTTTTCTTGGCTATATTATACGTAAATACCAGGTATGAATGTTTTATTAATGTTTCGAAATTTTAATGCTCATGACATCAATTGCATAAAAAAAAAATAATTACAAAACTGATGGCAAAAAAAAGGGCATCAAGAAAAATTTGATAATTCAGTGCCTCCACTCATTCCCCGAAAAAAAGCATTTTTCCGAATTTTTTAATCATCTCATTAAAATGCATTTCAATATTATATATAAATTTAATATATTCAGAAAGAAAAATGTATAAAAACCCCATCATAAAAAAAATTTCTTTTTGGCAAAACATTCTTTTCTAATTGAAAAAGAAAAATTTTTCACATAAACTAGATTTTCAAAATATCAAAGAGAAAAAAAATTCCTTTTTTTTTTCTTTATAAAAAAATTTTCACTTTTTAAATTATATAGTCAAATAAAAATATAACCAATCAAAAAGAATATTTATTTGAAAATAAAAAATTTTTTAAAATGAAGAGAAGGTTTTTTGATAACTGTCAGGGGGGTGGGGATGAAAATTGAGAAAAGTGGTTATAAAAAAGAAATTTAAACTAATGTATTAAATATAATGCAATTAACAATAAACATTTTAAATATATATATATTAACAATAATAATGAGAATATATTAAAAATACAATTATTAGTAAAAATAAATTTTTTTTTTTTTTTGAAAAAAAGAGTACCAATTGTAAGAGAACAAAATAAAAACACAAACACACTCACTCAATTTTTATGAAATTATAGAAAAAGAGATGAAATAATTACTACAGTTAAAATATTGGTGGCTAAAATCGATGTGTACCATACTAAATAAATATTAAATTTAAATCTATGTTGAATAACGATTTCGCAATCGTATACATATACTGAGAACAAAAAAAAATATATTTAATATATTAAAATAGATATATATAATTAAAAAAATAAATATCTCGATTCAACAGTCAGATATTCTAAACGATAATTTGCGACATGATCTGCTCAAAATGTAGAGGAAAAAAAATACACTGTTGATAAAAAAAAGTTCCATTTGTCAGATAAAATTTTCCCCAAATTTTTTTCTTCAGCAAAATTTGTCAATTTGAATAGAAATTTAATTAATTAAATTATTTGATATATAATTAAACTAATAAATTATTAATAAACTAATAAACTCTAAATAAATTTATTAATTAGTTTACTTTGATTAATTTAGTTAATTAATTTACTTTAATAATAAATAATAGTAATAATAATAATAATAGTATTTTTTTTCTAAAAGTAATGAATTTTAATTAAGCGAATTAATTAATTTACATTCAGTAACTAAAGTGTAAAATTAAATCTTATTAATTAAATAATTAATTAACTTTGATTAGTTTTATTAATAAATTCACTTAGGTTAATTTAATTAATTAATATTTAATTAAATTTAAAAAGAAATTTGAAAAGAAATATTCTTTGAAAAATTTGTTACAAAAGTAAAAAAAATCTTTAGTTTAGAAAATAATTAAAATACTTCAATGTATAATAAATTTAAAATCAAATCTTATTCTAATCGTAGAAATAAAAAATCTAAGAGGAAAAAATTTTATATTAAAAAATTATTTAAATACGTAATTAGAAAAAAAAGTGGGAAAAATATTGTCTGCTGAGTAAACGTACATATATATATTTATCGCCTACCGTTTCTCTAAATGATGGAAAAAAATGTAATTTTTTTTCCTGATGAAAACGGTACTCGATTATTTCGAATTTACTTGTCAAAAAAAAATATGGAGAATTTATTATTCTCTAAATGGGGAAAATACGTTGGTAGTTTTTAATGAAATAATAAGCGAAAAATATTCTTTATATAAGTGGTTTAGAATATTGAAGAAGAAAAAAAAACAGTTTTAAGACATAGTACCTCAAATATTTTATTGTATAAAACTAAGTGTCTGGTGTGATTAATCAATTAGAAACACTGAGTTAATTATCACCGGGTAATATATTAATAAAAAAGACTGCAGAATTGCGAGCTTGACAAATTTCGGTGAAAATCGTCATTTTTAGGTATGAAAAAAAATTTTAAATCCTTGTAAAAATTGAATTGAAAATCGAAATATTTAATTAAAAATTGCTTTTTTAATTAAAAAAAAAATAAATATTTCTTGGAAAAATATTTAAAAAGAGTTAAATTTCAAATAAATTTGAATTAAAAACCCTTTTTGTTTACAATTTTGAAATTTCTTTGATAGATTTTATTTTATTTTATTTTAATAAATATATTTTTTTAGTATTTAATTTCAATAAAAAATTATTGATTAATTATTATTTGTTGATTTATTTCTTAGTCTTGTTGACTGACTTATTTATTATAATAATTTCACTGGGCGACAGATTTAATTTTCAATTTAAATTAATTTAAAGTAATAAAGGATTTATTGTTAAATAATTTTTTTTCAATTAAAAAATTAAAATATTTAAAAAAACTAAATAATTAAAAAAAAAAATTCATATATCGAAAGATAAGAAAATACACTGAAAATTAAAAGTCTCGCATTTCTGAAAAATAGTTGATTTCTAGCCCGATCAGTTTTTGAAATTCGTGTTTTATTTTTCTAACAGAGAATTTACAAAAAAAAAAAAGAAAAAAGTGAAAGTTTTCAAAGGAAAATTGTGATGGTGTCTTGTAAATATAGATGTAAATGAAAAACTATTATAATATAAATTAAAACTGTATATCTCGTGTGTCAAGTATTTCAAAAAAAAAAAAAAAATACTATACATATAAAAAAAATTTGTCAAAGAAAAAAAAAACCTTAAAATTTCCCCCCTCGTATATAAGAAACTTGCGTGTGAAAAATTTTCAATCGCGCACGCTTCTTCAAATTTTACGTAAAAAAAATGTTGTTCAAAGAAAAATGTATTCTAAAAATATTATTGAACTACATACATACACACTAGATAAACTTTTTGTGGGGAAAAGCTATAATTATTATTATTGTAAAAGAAGGAAAAAAAACCAAACTCTTAATGAAATGCTTCCATGATTCACGCGATTTGCAAAGAAAAGAGAAAATTAAAAACAAAATACCTAAAAAATTTTATTAAAAATCAAAATCAAAATATTTACGTCAAAGTATATTGTTAAATCAGAACACGTTGTTAATATTGTTGTTGAAGAAAAATGAAGAATAACCCAAAAACGTTACATTGTTAAGTCCAGTGCCAAATAACAAAACCCAAAGAGTTATTAATAAAAAAGAATTTCTATTCATTCGTTTTCAAATCAGTAAAAAATTAAAAATTAAATTAAATCATTAAATGTAAATTTCAAATTCGAATTTGAAATAAAGAAATGTAAATTTTAGATTCAAATTTGAAATATAAATTTTAAATTAAATTTTAAATTAAATTTTTAATTAAATTTTTAATTAAATTTTTTCATTTATAATTGAATGTAAAAGAAGGAATTAAAAACATTAAAGAATTTAAAAAATCAAATTAGAAGAAAAATTAGTAAACTGAAAAAAAAATTTAAAAAAAAAAAATAAATTTGTACCAAAAAATTTAATTTTGTCTCCTGGTCTTCTTTTTCGATTTTAAATTCAAAAAAATTGTCCAAGTTTTATTTGATAAATGGGAATAAAACAGGATCAATTATACTTTTCATTCGAAAAAAAAATTGATAAAAAAGATTTCTTCGTAAATTGCGGATAAAATTTTTCACTCTCGGTATATATGAGAAGGAAAACATTTATTTTCAAACTTTCTATGGATGATAAGAGAATGAAAAGAATTGGTCCACTGCCGGTAAAGCAGTTCCGATGCTTCATCCCAAAATATATCTTTATCATCTTCGGATGCTGTACCGACTGCAATTGCACTCCATTGTGCTAAGAATTGACTCACTTTATCAATTGTTGATATACTGTATTTTTATTAAATAAGAAATTTTTTTCAATTTTTCCTTAGAGCTTTCGAATTATATTTAGCTTTTTCTATTTTTTATTGTTTAATTAAAGTATTTTGTATTTATTTATTTGTTTATAAATAAATAAATGAATTTTATAGGAAATGAAGTATTATTTGTTTGTTTTTAATGATTAAGAGAAGTAAATATATTATTTATTTTATATTCATTATATTTGCTTTTAAATTATAATAAAACAATTATAATTTTTATTACTAATTCATTTATAATAATTATAAAAATAATAATTGTTTATTATTAAATTATTATTTTTATTTTTCTTATATTCGAGTTTTCAGTAACAATTTTTAAATTGTTTTTACAATGATTTAGTTTGCAATTTTTTTTTCATGCAATAAACACCTTCCAATCATTATTAAAATCGTAATGAAATTTTTGAGAAAATACATTTTAGAATATAATTTTTTTTATGAGAAAATGACAATTAAAAAATTAATTTAAATCATAACGGCTTTAATATGACGATAACTATTAATAATAAATTATTTATTAGTATATATAAATATTGAAAGAAGTGAATTGTATTATAAACAAAATATTATGTGTAAAATAGAAAAAAAAACCTATATATCCAAATAATAATCGTGAAACAACGAATCTCGAAAAAAATTTTAACAACTTTAATTTCGATGTTTCTACCCAAATCATATCAATAAAAAAGAAAAATAAACTGAATCACAAAAGCGCACAAAATTTTTTAGATGATTCAGAATCAAAATTTTCTTTTGCTTAAATAATATTAATTAATATCCTAATTTAAAAAAATTAATTTTTAAATTATTAATAGATTTGTTAAAATTTTCAATTAGTTTTTAAATTAAAAATTGATTTTTTAATTAAATAATTTAAATTTTAGTTTTTGACTTTTTTTAATACGATATTAAATTTATAATAAAATGTCGTAAACAATTATTAAATTAATCATTATAATTAAAGTTATTAAAGTTATTAAAAATTTTAATTAAATTTGCAGATATTATTCTTTTGTAATATTTTTTTTGTAAGATTCTTATTGCAATATTATTAAAATATTATTTATTAATTATATTAACGTCATTGCATATTTGTGTGTAGCAATAAAAATTAGTGTTTCGAATTCTGTTTCCAGATTTGATAATTTTAAAAATTAATTAATTTATGATTAACAAAGAAGAAAAATGATTGGAAGGAGTTTTGTTTTCTTGTAAAATATCGCAAATTAAATGAAAAGAAAATTTTTGTTGCAAAATGTGTGTCACACTTGCGCTATAATAATTATAAGTGTCTGTGACGAAATTTGTGCCCAAGAAACAATTGCTGTGAAGCTGTTGATTAT